GATGTTTCAGAGTTTTCCAGGAGTGTACCGTAAGCCCCCGGATAGAAGCGCAGGCCTCGGATAAGCGCCAGCGCTTATAAAAGGATGCGGGCGCTTATATCCGCTCCTCGATTATAAGCGCACCCTTGAAGCCTTATGGATTATAAGCGCACCCCTATTACCTTACACATTATAAGCGCCACCTTTCTCTGTATTTCATCTTCTATTTTAAGCTTGTACAATTACCATCCTACTGTAATTCTACAATATCTCAACATATTCTACTACATTTTCGCATTTTCTGCATATTCTACCACATTTTCAAATCCTACACATTTCTACTCTACCTAAACAACCTAGGCATCATCCTCAGCAGTGGCGGTGCCTTCGTGGGCGGTCTCACCATCCGTCTCTGGCTCGTCTACGTTGTTGCAGCAGAATCCATCTGCTGCAATCTCGTCGTCAAGTTCCACTTCGCCCTTGACGGCGTCCCGCCGGTGCTGCAGGCAGAGACTGTCCTGAGACCCGTCCAAGGCGTTGCTGATGCCACAGGTGAGAAACGAGCGCTCAATCAACTCCCTGGGCACCGCCTTCCAGGCCTTGGAGATCCACTTGAGCGTCAGCTCTGGTGGTGGCTTGCGGATGTTGCCTGCCACACATGGAAAGATCCAGCAGTTAGAACAGGGTGAACAGTTGGAAAACGATCAGGCCTTAAATTAAATATCACCTCTTTCGGTCAGCCTGTCAACACCCTCGCTCTCGAACCATGCCTGGTACAGTTGTCGCACAGCTGCTTTGAAGGAGCGGTTCACCGCGATGTCCAGGGGCTGGACCTCCGATGCGCAGCCAGCTAGTATGACGGCGGGGACGATATGCAGCTCGCCGAATTTCGCCCTCACTTGATCAGTCAGGTGCCCGCGGTAGGAGTCAAGAACCAGCAACGCCCTCCTGCTGCGCACTCCGAACCTCGGGTTGACGTACGGGCTCACCGTACCGTCGAGCCACGCGAGGACGCCGTCCTCGTCCATCCAACCGTTGGGATGTGCGGCGACCACGACATCTGCACATCCACACAACACGTACGTTAAGTTTGGCATCGGTTACAAAAAAACAACACATGCAAATCATACCGTGACTGCACAAGCTGCTCGGCTTACCGGAGGGGAAATTCCCCTTTGGAACAGTCTTGCGCTTAAAGAACACCCAAGGCTTGAGCTTCTCGCCGCTGGCGGTGCAGGCGAGCATCACCGTCACGCGTTCCTTTTGATAGCCGCCGCTGCGGATGGGCACGGAGCGGACCCCCACCTCCTCGACCGTGCGTTCATCTGGCATTTCGAGCCAGAGCGGGGTCTGATCCGCATTAATGATCCAGCGGTTGTCGATGCCGTACTGTCGGCGGGTGTGTCGCACGAACTTCCAGAAGTTCCGCACCTGCGTCTCGCACTCTGGAAGGGATGGGGAGACAGAAACGATAAAAAAACATTAGCACATCGAACGTTGGCAAAAGGGATAAACGAGAGTGACGACAAGAACACCGACTCACCGGAGGATAGCTTCTGGCCGGCTCGGGTCTTCGCTCGGGTAGTGAGATTCCAGCGGCGCCGAAAACGCTCGGTCCACCTCTGAGATCCCGCCCACTTTACCTCAGTATGCAGGCTCTTCATCACCTCTCGTGACCACTGCTGCAGGCGGCCGACCGACACTGCGAGGCACTTCTTCCGGGCGGCAAGAACACGTGAGTAGACCTGGATCTCCATGTCGCGGTACCACGACGACCGACCACGCCCGTGAAGGCGCTTGCGAGCCCCATGCGCGCCCTCCAGCTTACCCTTCCGCGATTTCCACTCTGCCAGGGACTTTCGGGAGATACCAGTGTCGCGCGCCATTTTCCGCACACTCACAGCACCGGACTCCAGCTGTGAAATCCAGTGCAGCTTCTCCTGAGAAGTGTAGGAGTGGCGCTTGTGCCTTGAGCGCCTGCTCCTGGGAGACGGGGGCCGGGCATCACGATTCTGGGTGGAGGGGTGGGGCCTTTTTTTATTGGGCGGGGGAAAACTTGGGACAGGCAAGTCCTCGGGAAGACCGTCGGCCGCCCACCACTCAACATCGTCTTCGGCACCAGTGGCGGATTCGTCGTCCGGCAGTCTTCCGGGTCTCCCCAGCGTGGCGAAAGACCGGGGCCGGTTTCATCTTCGTCGCTGCGCTCGGGTTCGGGCTCGGGCTCGGGCTCGGAGATGTACGCGTCGAAAGCAGAGTAGCCGCGAGGGAGAAGCTGCAGAACGGGCACACCGTTGATGACGACGTTAGGAGGAGCGGGAGGAGTAGGAGGCGCTGGAGGAGCAGGAGGCGCAGGAGGAGCAGGAGGCGCAGGAGGAGCAGGAGGTATGGGAGCTGGGCGACTCTGCCACTGTGAGTAATCGGGAGTTTTGGCAGCAGCACCTCGGCTGTTAAAGAGAAAATGGGTGCCTGGAAGGCCCGCCATGGCAGAGGCCGGCCGAGAGAAAACAAGAAAACTGGAACGGTGAGAATGAAGCCTGTTTGAAACCCTCGCCCGAGACCCCTCCAACTTCGCGGCCCGAGTTCCTCTGCAGGGAAATGGGGGAAAGTGTCAAGATCTCCCCGCAGAGGAGCTGATGTGGTGGGGTCCAAGCCTTGGTGGCAAGGAATCTTGCCGCATATGAACATTTCGTGGTTGTACAGCGTCGTGGTTGGCACGGCATTCCACCCTGATTGGGCAGTCGCACACTAAACAGCGTGTGCGCTGGCATGCGCGAGATACATGTACGATGAATCTGGCCAGGCCAACAAGGCGTGGCGGCCGTGATGCCACGCCTTGTTGGCCATTTGACGCGTTTTTCATGCACGGGTAGGAACGTTCTGGATGTGGAATGAATCCCCTTTTGAAAAAGCTTCAGTTACATGTAAAAAATACATATTTCACATTTGCCATTTTATAGACGCCGACGCTTATAAAAATCCTCAATTATAAGCGCACCCCCTAAAAAACAGTGTTTTATTACAACCCCAGGGGCGCTTCTATCCGGGGGCTGACGGTACTCTGATCATTCAGAGTACAAACGCGTACCGACTCTGATACAATGTACCTGGGCGCCGACACCCAGGATTAGCGGTACTACCTGTACCGTTATGCCCCGGATATACCCCCAGGTGGGGGTATAAAAAAACCTGGAAAAATGGTGGGTGGGCTTATAATGTGGATTTTTTTATAACCCCATGGGGGAAATAAATGACACTTAGAGAATTATGATTTTAAAACACAGAAATGTAGATCTCAGCCTTGCGGTTTCAATCGAGACTACCACAAAACAGTTCGCTTCGAAATTCACCGAGAATCTGCCACCCTGGCGAAAATCCCTGCCATCATGTGCTGAAATGTTGCTAACACGTGCGCGCCTGTGGCAATTTCGCCAGGCGGGCCAGGGAAGACTTCGCCAGGCACGTCAGCGACGATTGCTCATGACGCGTTAGTGGCGAATTCACTAGAAAAACACAGATTTGAGTAAAATTTCATAGGGTGCGCTTATACGAAGATGATCCAAATTTAGGGTGGGGTTATAATCGGCACCCGGCTATAAGCCCACTGGTACGATTATAAGCGCATGGGTGTAACATAGGCCTGGGGGTATATCCGGGGCATGACGGTACCTGTCCCGTCAATCACGCGAAACATGGGACAACACAACACAATAGTCAAATTACGTGGGTGACGCCGCCCTGCGACGCGATTTCCCCCTCGTAAGCTCCAGCGCAGACCCTGTGAGCGCACTGATTGGTCGTTTTGGCAGGATTTGCTTGCCATCACGAACCCACGACGCTGCAATAGGCTGTCAGATTTATATGACATAGCTACTGTAGGCTATAGTGGGGTAGCACATATGGGGTACAGTTTTCTAGGGTTTACATTTGTACCCAACTTTCCCTTAGTCCATTCATTCTCGTTTCTATTTTAACATGGTATCGAGCAGGTTCCCTCGTGGGAACTGTTCCTAGGGCCCACCAATTCGACATTTTTTTTTTCTGCCCGGAGCGCGCTCAGTCCTAGCCCGAGTCGCGCTCCCCCCTCTCTTTTTTTTTCTCGCCCCGTCGCGCCGCCCTAGCGGCCCTGTCGCCTGCCTTGCGGCCCTCGCGCCGCCCATCCTGGCCCCGACCCGCCGCCCGGCGGCCTCGTCGCCTACCCCGCGGCCATCGCGCCGCCCTTACCCGGCCCCGATCCGCCGCCCTGCGGCCTCGTCGCCTACCCGGCGGCCCTCGCGCCGCCCTGCGGCCCTGACGCCGCCCTTTCCGGCCCCGGCGCCTACCTGCGGCCCCGACGCCTACCTGTGCGGCCCCGGCGCCTACCTGCTGGCCCCGCCACCTACCCGCGGCCCCGCCACCTACCTGTGCGGCCCCGCCACCTACCTGCGGCCCCGCCACCTACCTGCGGCCCCGCCACCTACCAGCGGCCCCGCCACCTACCCGCGGCCCCGCCATCTACCTGTGCGGCCCCGCCACCTACCTGCGGCCCCGCCACCTACCAGCGGCCCCGCCACCTACCCGCGGCCCCGCCACCTACCTGTGCGGCCCCGCCACCTACCTGCTGGCCCCGCCACCTACCTGCTGGCCCCGCCACCTACCTTTGCGGCCCCGCCGCCTCCTCTCAGCGGCCCCGCCGCCTCCTCCCAGCGGCCCCGGACGCCGCCCTCTCAGCGGCCCCGCCGAGCCGCCCAGCAGCCGAGCCGCCCAGCCGCCGAGCCGCCCAGCAGCCGAGCCGCCCAGCAGCCGAGCCGCGCAGAAGCCGAGCCGCCGAGCCGCCCAGCAGCCGAGCCGCCGAGCCGCCAAGCAGCCGAGCCGCCGAGCCGCCCAGCAGCCGAGCCGCCGAGCCGCCCTGCAGCCGAGCCGCCCGAGCCGCCCTGTCCGGTAAGAGCAGCGCCTCTTTCACAGCACTGCCCTCACCCTACTGTTTGCGCTGCTAGTCTACTGCTGTCATGGCTACCCCTAGTGTCCTATCTTTTGACGCTGAGGGTCGGGCCATTGACTTTGACGTCTGGATAGATGACCTGCAGCTTTTCTTACAGTGCGATAGGGCAGACGGCCTCTCCCTCTTTGACCTCACTTCTGGTGCCTCTCCTGCCCCCACTGCTGATGCTGACGCCACTGTTCGCTCACAGTGGGCCACGCGCGATGCTGCTGCACGTCTTGCTGTGCGTCGCCACCTGCCTACCTCTGAGCGTGCGCACTTTAGCCAGTACAAGAGTGCTCACACCTTGTACGACGCTGTAGTTGCGCGCTACTCCTCCCCTGCCACTGCTGCACTGAGCCGCCTCATGCTACCGTACCTCTTCCCTGACCTTGCTGCCTTTCCCACAGTCGCTGACCTCATTACGCACCTCCGCACTAGTGACACTCGCTACCACGCTGCGCTTCCTGCTGAGTTCTGCGCCAAGAACCCCCCCCCCCCCATGTACATCACCCTCTACTACATAGTCACCCGTCTCCCTGACTCCCTTCGCGTAGTCAAGGACCACTTCCTCTCAGTTTGCCCCACCACTCTCACCGTTGACCTCCTCGAGAAGGCCCTCTTAGCAGCAGAAAAGAGCATAGTGGCTGTAGGAGCCTCTCGTGGTGACCCTCGCACCCCCATCTTTGAGGGGTGTTCCCCCTCCCCTCTTTTGCCCTCTGTTGCCTCTGCTGCTGCGGCCGACCTCGTTGGTCTCGAGTCGGTCGGCGCTGCGTCTGCCCCGAGCGGGAGACGCCGCACCGGCAAGGGCAAGGGGGGCAAGGGTGCTGGAGGGGCTGGCGGGGGTGGCAGAGGTAGCGGTGGCGGCAGTGGAGGGGGTGGGGGTGGTGGTGGGAGTGGTGGCGGGGGTGGAGGTGTCGGCGGCGGCAGTGGAGGCAGCGGCGGCGGCGGCGGTGGCGGTGGGAGCGGAGGTGGCGGAGGTGGCGGCGGTGGAGGAGGCGGCGGCGGAGGAGGTGGAGCTGGTCGGGGTGGCGCTGGGCAGAGGGTCGGCTCCGGTGGTGGTCAGCGCCAGCAGCAGCAGCAGCAGCGGCAGCAGCGCACTCGTGACACCCCCCCCCCTCAGCAGCTCCGTGAGTGGTACGCTGCACGCCAGCGGAGTGGGGGTACTGGTCCGTGCACCTACGTCCTACGCACCGGCGACCGCGCGGGTGAGCAGTGCGGGGGTGCGCACTCCACCCAGCGCTGCTTTGGCCGCCTGACGGACGCTTGGTGTCACCAGTTCCCTGAGGCCACTGAGATCCCCCGCTGGGGCGAGCTGTCTAGGGCGGGTGTAGCTGTCTTTGACCTTGACTTTGATGCTATTCTTGCTGCCATGTATGCTGTGACTATTAGTGATGAGGGTGACTGTTACCGGTGTTTTCCGCCCGACCCGGGCATTGAGACTGCTGCTCTAGGTACTGGTGAGGCTGCTGCTCTAGGTGCTAGCGAGGCTGCTGCTCTAGGTGCTCGTGCGTCTGCTCACTCAGGTGCTGGTGAGTCTGCTCTCTCAGGTACTGCGTCGGCTTCGGCCTCCCACACCTTCACCCTTGACTCGGGGGCTTCTCGCTCCTTCTTTCGAGACCGCACCACACTCACGCCGCTTGGCCGGCCAGTTGCAGTCTCTCTGGCAGACCCCTCTGGGGGTCCTGTCCTTGCTCACTTCTCCACTGTCCTCCCGTGTCCGGCGGCCCCCTCTGGCACCCTGTCTGGTCTTTACCTCCCCTCGTTCTCTACGAACTTGGTGAGTGGTGCTGACCTACAGGATGCGGGGGTTCACCAGTTCACTCCTGCGAGTCAGCGGGTGACCCACTGCACGGACGCTCGGACAGGCCGACACCTGGCCACGTTTACACGTCGGCCGGGGTCGAGCCTGTACACACTGACCACTGCGTCTCCTCCAGTCACTGCGTCTGGTCAGGTAGCTGCGTCGGGTCAGGTGTTTGCTGCAGCGTCCAGGTCTGGTCCTGAGTCTGCCCCCTGTTCGTGTCGCCTCCTGTCGCACGAGACTCTCCTCTGGCACCACCGCCTTGGTCACCCCTCCCTGCTTCGTCTCCGAGGCATGGCCTCCCGTGTCCTTGTCTCTGGTCTTCCCCGGTCCCTCCCTCCCCTTCCTCCGGGGCCAGGCCCTACCTGCGTCCCTTGTGTCGAGGGGCGGCAGCGGGCTGCCCCTCACTCCTCCCAGTTTCCTCCGACAGAGGCCCCGCTGTAGACGCTTCACATGGACGTGTGGGGCCCGGCTCGCGTCCGTGGACAGGGTCACGAGCGCTACTTCCTGCTGGTGGTTGACGACTACTCGCGTTACACCACAGTCTTCCCCTTGCGCAGCAAGGGTGATGTCACTGAGGTGTTGATCGACTGGATCCGCGCAGCTCGTCTCCAGCTCAGGCAGAGCTTCGGCTCGGACTTTCCTGTTCTGCGTCTGCACTCTGACAGAGGTGGAGAGTTCTCCTCTGGCCTTCTGCGAGCCTACTGTCGTGCACGAGGCATCCGCCAGACCTTCACGCTTCCGGACTCTCCACAGCAAAATGGGATTGCTGAGCGCCGCATTGGCATGGTCATGGACGTCGCCCGTACGTCCATGATGCATGCGGCTGCCCCCCATTTTCTGTGGCCGTTTGCGGTTCGGTACGCGGCGCATCAGATCAACCTTCACCCCAGGGTCTCCATGCCGGAGACCTCCCCAGCTTTGCTGTGGACGGGGAAGGTTGGCGATGCGTCTGCGTTCCGTGTCTGGGGATCTCGGGCGTTTGTCCGCGACTTGTCTGCGGACAAGCTGTCCCCTCGTGCTGCTCCTTGCGTCTTCCTTGGCTTCCCCCCTGACGCGCCAGGGTGGCAGTTCTACCACCCCACCTCTCGCCGTGTTCTGTCCTCCCAGGACGTCACGTTTGACGAGTCGGTCCCCTACTACCGCCTCTTCCCCTACCGCACTCCGTCCCTCCCCCCGCCACCGCTCTTCCTTGTGCCAGGTCCCCCCCCGGTAGACCCCCTCCCCCCTCAGGGTCCTGCCCCTTCAGGTGTGTCCCAGGTAGACGCAGTCGAGCCTGTCGAGGTTACTGGTGACTCTGGTGCTGCTGAGGGTGCTGAGCCTGGGGGTGCTGACTCTGGGGGTGCTGAGCGTGTGGGTGCTACGCCTGGGGGTGCTGAGCCTGAGGGTGCTACTACTGGGGGTGCTGAGCCTGGGGGTGCTGAGCCTGGGGGTGCTACTACTGGGGGTGCTGAGCCTGGGGGTGCTGAGCCTGGGGGTGCTACGCCTGGGGGTGCTGAGCCTGGGGGTGCTACGCCTGGAGGTGCTGAGCCTGGGGGTGCGGAGCCTGAGGGAGCTGGGCCTGCTCGTGTGGCGTCTGGAGGTGCTGAGCCTGGAGGTTCTCCGGGTGCTTCGTCTCGGCGGGAGCCACTCTCTCCACAGGAGCTGCGAGAGTGGTTTGCCCGACGCTGGCGGCGTGCTGCTGGAGCTGGAGGTTCTTCGACTGCTGCGGGTGCTGGTGCCGCGGGTCCCGGAGGTGCTCGTACTGGGAGTACTGGAGCTGCTGGGCCTGCGGGTACGCCTGGAGCTGGAGCTGCTGAGGGTGTTGGCGCTGAGGCTACTGCTGTCGGTCCTGGAGGCGGTCCTACTGGGGGTGCTACTGGTGCTGCTGGAGGTATAGGAGTTGGAGGTGCTGCTGGCGCTGGTGCTGCCGCTGGGGGTACTGGTGCTGTCCCTGCTGTGTCTGGAGTCGCCGCGCGGCCTCGGCCGTACTTCGTTCCGCTCCTTCAGCAGGTTCTTGGTCTCCCGCCTTCTACTGGTCCTCCTCCTCCCTTAGAGTGTCCACAGCCTGTCCCGTCCCAGTTACAGTTACAGCCGGCCTTCACACTGCCCGCTCCTTCTCCCTACACTGGTCCTACTGGAGGTCTGGCTGAGCGTCGTGAGCCTGCGTCTCGCCCTGCGTCGCCTGTCCGTCTTGCTCGCACTAGTGGCCGTGGTTTGCGTCAGCGTCCTCCTCCTGTCCCTGGCACGCACCGGATGTCTCTGCGTCCGTCCACTGCTCCTCTGCGTGCCCCTTTGCCTTCTCCTCCTGAGTCCTCTCTTCCTGCTCTTCCCGACCCGGAGTCGGACTCTCTTCGTGCTGCCAGTCCTACTGTCACGCGTCTCCTTGCTACTGTCGTCACTGACCCTTCCTTTGAGTCCACTGCTGCGTCTGCCCTAGTTGCTGAGCTCGTCGACTTTGCTGCTCGCTGTCGTCTAGACTACGCTGCTAGTCTTGTCGTTGCGTCTGAGTCTGTCTGTCCTCCGTCCGTCGGGGGTGAGTGTGCCCTTGGCACGGACGTCCTTGAGGACAGGCAGGAGGAGTTCCAGTGTTTGGCTGCTGCTTCACCTCATCTCGTGTCCTTACTGCTTACCCCTGAGGGAGACCCGGATGCACTTGACATCCCGACTCCGCGCTCTTACGCGGAGGCGATAGAGGGTCCCTACTCCTCTCAGTGGCAGGCAGCTATGGACACAGAGATGGCTTCCTGGAAGTCCACAGGCACCTACGTTGACGAGGTTCCCCCGCCTGGGGCGAACATCGTCAGTGGCATGTGGATTTTCAGGGTGAAGCGACCGCCGGGTTCTCCGCCTGTCTTCAAGGCACGTTACGTGGCTCGTGGCTTCAGTCAGCGGCAGGGAGTTGACTACTTTCAGACCTTCTCTCCCACCCCGGAGATGACCACTCTTTGGGTACTGCTGCACATAGCTGCTCACCGCGACTACGAGCTGCACTCTCTTGACTTCAGCACTGCTTTCTTGCAGGGCAGCCTGCACGAGGAGATCTGGCTGCGTCGCCCACCTGGCTTCACTGGGTCTTTTCCTCCTGGCACCCAGTGGAGCCTCCGGCGGCCAGTCTACGGTCTCCGCCAGGCACCGCGTGAGTGGCACGACACACTGAGGACTACACTTGCGGCTCTTGGGTTTGCTCCCTCTACTGCCGACCCGTCGCTGTTTCTGCGCACCGACACTTCTTTGCCGCCGTTCTACATCCTCGTGTACGTCGACGACTTGGTCTTTGCCACAGCTGACACTGCTGGACTCGCCCACGTGAAGTCCGAGCTGCAGAAGAGACACACGTGCACAGACCTGGGTGAACTGCGCAGCTACCTTGGCTTGCAGATCACCCGGGACAGAGCACGCCGCACCATTACCCTGACTCAGTCACACATGGTGCAGCAGGTCCTTCAGCGCTTCGGCTTCACGTACTCCTCGCCTCAGGCCACTCCTCTGCCTACTCGCCACTCGCTCTCAGCTCTGCCTTCGGATGAGTCCGTAGAGTCAAGTGGCCCGTACCCAGAGCTTGTTGGCTGCCTCATGTACCTGATGACCTGCACACGACCTGACCTCGCATACCCTCTTAGCATTCTCGCACGCTATGTTGCTCCTGGGAGACACAGACCGGAGCACATGGCTGCAGCGAAGAGGGTGTTGCGCTACTTGTGCAGTACGTCGGGCATGGGGCTTGTGCTTGGAGGGCAGAGTCCAGTGGTCCTCACTGGACACGCAGACGCTTCTTGGGCTGACGACCAGGCTACGCAGCGGTCGTCACAGGGTTACACCTTCAGCCTTGGTTCCGGCTCTGTTTCGTGGCGGGCTACCCGCTCGTCTTCTGTTCTCGGCTCCAGTTGTGAGGCTGAGATCTACGCCGGGGCCATGGCTGCACAGAAGCTTCGCTGGCTCACCTACCTGCTGACTGACCTCGGAGAGCCGCCTCGTTCTCCTCCAGTGCTGTACGTAGACAACAAGGCCATGCTGGCCTTGTGTCGAGAGCAGAGACTGGAGCACAGAACGAAGCACATTGCTCTCCGCTACTTCCTTGCTCGTGAGCTACAGCAGCGTGGTCAGCTGCGGCTTGCGTACGTGGCCTCTCAGGCCAACACTGCTGATATCTTCACCAAGGCACTTGCGCCTTGTGATCATCAGCGCTTCTGTACTCAGCTGGGTCTTGTGCCTACCTTGACTCACTTGCTCACCCCTTGACCTTGTTTGTACTGTTGCATATATATATACACCTGCTCTTGCTTGTCTAGCCTTATATATATATGTAATCCTGCATGTGAACTGGCCTTGTGGCCTTGAACTTGTGCTCGGAATGTGTGGTGACTTTGTGATCCACCCTGAGCTTGCTTTGCTATGCTTGACTGGTCTTGTGACCCCTTGTTCTCCCCCACTTTGCCTATGGGGGTGTGTCAGATTTATATGACATAGCTACTGTAGGCTATAGTGGGGTAGCACATATGGGGTACAGTTTTCTAGGGTTTACATTTGTACCCAACTTTCCCTTAGTCCATTCATTCTCGTTTCTATTTTAACATAGGCACCCACGAAACAATGCTGACAGCATTGCACGGCAGGCGCGCCTCGTCGTTGCCGTGCATGCTAGCCAACCACCCACCCAACTCAATGATGGCCCATAGTGGTAAAGGGCCTTCGTGTTTGAGCTAGGGTTTCATCCACGCCCCCCAGCTTCAACTCACGGGCCCCAGCCAGTGCCCAGTTTTGCCTCAGCCATCTCTCTAGTTCCTGCTCGGCAGGCTCTTTCACAACCCCAACATGGCGGTGCAGGATAATCCCGCCACAGGCGATGACGACCCTGATGAGCAGCCTGCCTTAACAGGCTTAGGCTTCTTGCCCAGTTCAATAGAACTCGATAAGGCAGCGCGCGCCACGCCCGATACGATCCCCATACAGTGCTAGGCGAGGACCTCGCCGGGACATGCGAGGGTTGGAAGTGTCGTGATTTGTGTGGGCCGACTCGGAAGTGGTTCGGGCCTAGGTAGGCCGAACCCAAGCTGACGCGAAGTGCTCGGGCTGTACCCGTTAAGGTCGGGCTACAGTAAGGAATTGAAATTCCTTACACTCCCCCACCTTCTAAATGTTGGAAATACAAAACATATCAGAATATATATGCTAGACTTACGGTATTGGAGTCTAGAATGAATGGAGGGTATGATTTATTGGCGGGTAGAGTTATTGGTGCACCATTATTGGTGTGGATAGGTGGACTTTGGGAGGTCTAGCTGAGGGCCTCAGTGTCAAATGTTGTAGCCTTTAGTGATGCGTGTCATATGGGGTACAGCAGTTAGGGTTAGGTTTATGTACCCCCCCAACCCACAATAGTCAATCATCATTCGGTTTCTGACATGGTATCACCTAGGTTAGTATCCTGTGGGATCCCGTTCCTTCCCCTAACGCCCATAGCACCCTACCGTCGAGCCCGTCCCGTACCCTAGCGCCAGTTGCACCCGTACTGTCCCCTAGCCCCTATCGCGCCAGTCCGTCTCCTTCCCTAGCGCCCGTCGCGCCTGCCAGTCGCGTGGCGCCCGTCTATCCCGTCGCATCGCGTTGCGTCCGTCTATCCCGTTGCGTCGCGTCGTGCCTGCCCGTCCTGTCCTGTTGCGTCGCACCTGCCAGTCGCGTCGCGCCCGTCTGTCCCGTCCCGTCCCGTCGCGTCGCGCCTGCCCGTCCCGTCCCTTCGCGTCGCGCCTGCCCGTCCCGTCCCGTCGCGTCGTGCCTGCCCGCCGTGTTGCGCCCGTCCCGTCCCCTCCCCTCGTGCCTGTTGCGCCTGCCCGTCCAGTCGCGCCGTGCCTGCCCTTCCCGCCGCGCCGTGCCCGTCCCGTTACGTCCCTCCCTTCTCGCCACGTAGCGCCCTGCTTGCCGCGCCCTACTCCGGCCTTCTAGGCGATTTTCACCTGTAGTTTCTTCACGCTTCCGCTATGGCGACGCCTAGAGTCCTCCGCTTTGACGCTGATGGTAGGCCGCTCGAGTTCTCTGTCTGGCTCCTGCATGCGCAGCGTCTCCTAGTGAGTCAGGTTCAGGCAGACGAGTCCCTGTGGGCGCACGCTTCAGGTGACCTTCGTGCGGCCCCTGATCCTGAACCCTTAGGCGCTGCCCCACCACTGAGGACATCGATCGTTTTGCACGTCAGCATGTTGCCCTGACTGCCTGGAAGTCACGCAACGCTGCGGCCTGCATCGCCCTCAGCAGCCTCCTCCCTAAGTCTCAGGAGACCCACTTCACCTAGGTTCGCACGGCTAGTGAGTTCCTGACTGCGATCAAGGCCCGCTACGCTACTCCCACCACTGTCTCTCTTGGTCGCCTGTTTCTCCCCTTCCTGTTTCCTGACCTCGCCTCGTTTGAGCGCTCTGCTAACTTGATCGCTCACATGCGCTCACTGGATTCTAGCTACCGCGCTGCCTGCACTGACGCACAGCTTGCACTGCTCCCCCCCCCCCCCCCACCCCCCCCATGGCGATTACTATCTATTTCATGGCCACTAGCCTCCCTGGCCGCCTTGCCTCGGTTCGTGACGCGCTTCTTCTGAAGCACCCTAGCGAGCTCACTATCGGCGTTCTTGAGTCTGCCCTCAAGGACGTCGAGAGCAACCTCCGCTCAGTATCCTCCGCCTCTGGCGCTGTGCCCCCCCTACTGTTCCACGGGTGCACTGTCCCTCAGCTGCCCAACTTTACTGCCTCCCTCGCCACTGCCGCTACTGACGTGGCCGCAGCTGCTGTTACGACTTCTGCGCGGTCTTAAGCTAAGAGTGGCAGGCGGGCCGGCCAGGGTGCGGGCGACAGCGGAGGCGGCGGAGGTGGCGTTGCGGGCGGCGGTGGCGGGAGTGCAGGAGTTGGTGGAGCGCCTGGTGCAGCGTCTAGTGACTCCCCTACTGCAGCTGGTGGAGGTGACGCTCGGGTTAGTCGGGCACCTGCGGGACTGCCAGCTGCAGGTGCTGGAGTGGCGGCTTGGTACCTGACTCAGCGATAGCAGCAGCAGCAGAAGTCACTCCTCTCGCAGCGGCCACAGTAGCAGCAGGGGCAGCAGCAGGGGTCAGGACCACGTCACCTGTCGCGTGGTGATGCCCACCCTCCCTGCCCCTATCTCGTCCAGACAGGTACTCGCAGCGGACTCCGTTGTGACCGCTGCCAACCACCAGGTCAGTGCTTTGCTCAGCTCACTGACAATCTTCGCGTGGCCTACGGCATCGACGGCCCTGCCCCTGAATGGTTTCCTTTTGTTCGTTCGCACGGTGCAGCTCTGTGGGCCATGTCTGCTTCTCAGTTACTTGATCTCTTAGGAACTCCTCATTCTATGTATGCTGTTGTTGACTCTTGTGCTTCTGACTCCGTTTACTTGCGTGCTTTTAGCTTAGGTGCTGGTGTTGATCCTGTGCCAGTTTCTAGTGTAGGTACTTGCTTAGGTACTAGTCCAGGTGCTGCTGACCACACGACGCTTACTCCGCTTCCTGTGCCGGTCTCCGTAGCACTGGCTGATCCCACTTCGGGACCAGTCACTGCTTGCTACACTACCACGCTTCCGTGCCCGGCTGTTCCCTCGGGTTTCCTGACGGGCTTCCACGCCCTCTCGTTCTCCAGGAATTTGGTGGGTGTGAGGCCGCTCGTGGGTAGTCACGTGGGTGTTTGGTTTGAGCCTTCTGGGGACTCTGCGACCTGTGTAGACGGTGACACGTACGCGCCCCTGGCCACCTTTCACGCTGAGCCGCGCTCTGGTCTGAACACACTTCACACTGGCCCCCGAGAGAGGCAGCAGCAGCAGCAGCAGCTGCTGCCTCCGACCCCTGTCACTGCCCCCTGTCAGGTCCCCGCGTCTCACCAGGTTGCCGCCTCCCACCAGGTAGCTGTGTCTGGTCAGGTTCCAGTGTCTGGTCCGGTTGCCGCGTCTTGCTCGTGTCGGTCGCTTGCCCACCCCACCGTTCTATGGCACCACCGCCTTGGTCACCTGTCCATTCCTTGCCTGCGCACTATGTCTAGTCAGCGTCTTGTCTTAGGCCTCCCGCGAGTCTTGCCCTCGCTGCCGCCATCGCCTACACCACCTTGCGCCCCTTGCGTCGAGGGTCGGCTGCGCGCCACCCCTCACTCCTCCTCCCTTCGTCCGGCCACCGAGCCCTTCGAGACTCTCCACTTGGACGTTTGGGGCCCCGCCTCTTGCCCCAGTCCTGAGTGAGAGAGTTTCTTTCTGGTGGTCGTTGACGACTACTCTCGCTACACCACAGTGTTCCCCCTGGCGAAGAAGTCCGAGGTGACTTCTATGCTGATCCGGTGGTTACTTACCACTGCGGACACCCGTGGTCGTCGTGTCATCTGTCTTCACTCCAACCGCGGGGGTGAGTTTCGCTCCGGCGTTCTCGCTGGATTCTGTCGCGAGCAGGGCACCCGTCAGTCCTGGACGGTTCCAGAGTCTCCACAGCAGAATGGGGTTGCTGAGCGCCGCATAGGCTTGGTCATGGAGATCGCCCGCACCTCCTTGACTCACGCCCGTGCCCCCCATTTTCTGTGGCCCTACGCGGTTCGGTACGCCGCTCACCAGCTGAACCTCTGGCCACGTG